GAAGTAAGAGCGCTGTGCCCCACAGAAATCTAAAGTTCAGAGTATCTTTAGTAGGCTGTGACAAATTTTAAAGAGAAACAGTCAGAATTAGGCTTACACAAGGATTTTAATATATATAGTCTAAAATTACTATTGCTGTGCCTAGAGATGCGAAGGGCTGGAAAAAAAACAGACAAATTGGGAAAAAAATGGTTTATTTCTGTTTTTTTCTAAAGTCGGTTTTGTTTTTTTACGGAAAAATTGAAATGAAAAAAAGGAGATGGGAATATGTTCTTTTACAATGATAAATAATATATCTTTGACATGGTATTCAAACTATATAATAGGAAGACCTTAATGAAAGATTTCTGAGACTTTATGTAAAGTCTTAAATGATTGCACATTCTCTCAGCTCAAATCCTGGAATACAATTCAAGTAACACTGTACTTTCCAATGCAGTTCTCAAACTGAAAATAAAATGCATTTCTGTCACTAGGGGCACTGCAGAGGAAAGGCTCCAGTTTAGTTAGCTTGTGGGCTCTATCTTTGTACCTCCTACAGTTGAGTGATTGTTGGTAGGATAGTAGATGATAGTTTCTGTCCTCTCAAGCCTTAATTGACAGGTAAGAGGGTACATTTGTCTAACAAATTAGTTTATCTTTATAACATTTAAATGATTCTTAATAATGTCTGTGAAGGTTCTCATTCATCCAGGTCATGGTATATCTGTAACAAATGTGTCAAGGCAACTGAATTCTGAATTGAGAAAGCTGGTCGGATGGCCAGTGAAACGTCTTCAAGAAAAATACAGCAAGTCCAGTTGCCTTGACTTATTTTTTACAGAGATTCCTAATAATGTTCTACACCATCACAGTATAATGTTTACCTACAGTCTGGTCAGTAAATTGTTTTTTTTTCCCTCCTCTCAGTAAAATGGTGAGACCAACATGTAGAGTTTGGAGACATTTCCACAGTGCAGCAACTTCTGCTGAGTGCAAAGCTGCAATTTACACAAGGATTTTAATATATATAGTCTAAAATTACTATTGCTGTGCCTAGAGATGCGAAGGGCTGGAAAAAAAACAGACAAATTGGGAAAAAAATGGTTTATTTCTGTTTTTTTCTAAAGTCGGTTTTGTTTTTTTACGGAAAAATTGAAATGAAAAAAAGGAGATGGGAATATGTTCTTTTACAATGATAAATAATATATCTTTGACATGGTATTCAAACTATATAATAGGAAGACCTTAATGAAAGATTTCTGAGACTTTATGTAAAGTCTTAAATGATTGCACATTCTCTCAGCTCAAATCCTGGAATACAATTCAAGTAACACTGTACTTTCCAATGCAGTTCTCAAACTGAAAATAAAATGCATTTCTGTCACTAGGGGCACTGCAGAGGAAAGGCTCCAGTTTAGTTAGCTTGTGGGCTCTATCTTTGTACCTCCTACAGTTGAGTGATTGTTGGTAGGATAGTAGATGATAGTTTCTGTCCTCTCAAGCCTTAATTGACAGGTAAGAGGGTACATTTGTCTAACAAATTAGTTTATCTTTATAACATTTAAATGATTCTTAATAATGTCTGTGAAGGTTCTCATTCATCCAGGTCATGGTATATCTGTAACAAATGTGTCAAGGCAACTGAATTCTGAATTGAGAAAGCTGGTCGGATGGCCAGTGAAACGTCTTCAAGAAAAATACAGCAAGTCCAGTTGCCTTGACTTATTTTTTACAGAGATTCCTAATAATGTTCTACACCATCACAGTATAATGTTTACCTACAGTCTGGTCAGTAAATTGTTTTTTTTTCCCTCCTCTCAGTAAAATGGTGAGACCAACATGTAGAGTTTGGAGACATTTCCACAGTGCAGCAACTTCTGCTGAGTGCAAAGCTGCAATTTGCAAATATAAAATAACATTTTAAAAAGCAAGTTTAGTTTATTAACTGAGTAATCTGTACTTTTATTTCAAGCATAATACTTTTATTTACACTGTGTTTCACCTCCCTAGTGTCAAAAAATGACTTTCAATTTGTAAAAATACTCCACTGATTTTTTTTTTGCAAAAATGTCAATTTTTTTCGGAAAGAAACAGGGAATTTTTTTTTTCCTCATGGCTTCAAAATTTCCAGAAATTTGACATCTCTAGCTGTGCCAATACATAAAAAGATTTACATGCACATCTTATCTACTTCGTCTAAGGATGATAATGGCTGCTGAGGTTAAAGGAGAACTATGAGGTGTGATTTTCACTCAGCTTCATAGTTCGAGCCGACGTGTGACAATGAAACTATCACACGTCGGCTCTATAGATTGGGAAGTGAGCGAACACATACCGTCGCTCGCTCACTTCTCGATCCTGTCCCTGTAGAGAGCCGTGACTGTCACTCACGGCTCCCTGCAGGGATTCCCACCCCTCCCCTCTCCTCCAGCGGCTGACTGGAGGAACGGACGGGGGAGGGGGCAGGTACAGCTGGCTCTGCCTCTAGATAGGCAGAGCCAGCTGTCAATCACGCAGCTGGGTGGATCTCTACAGTAATGTCGGGATCCGTCCCGGCTGCGGCAGTCTCAGTATACCGCGAGCTGTAGCTCGCTATATACTGAGCTTTGAGTCATGGGAGGACGCTAGTTTATGTCCTCCCGTGACCCTGAGGAGCACTAGGGTGAAAAACACTTACCCCATAGTTCTCCTTTAAGCAAGTGCTGCCCTTTCAAAGTCTAATCTCACACTGATAGAAGAAAGCTGTGGTCAAGCTCCTGAGTGTAGCTAACAGGATCAAATAGCAATGACCTGTGCCTCAAAGGAATGTGAGCAACATCATGAGGCCAGTGCAGGATTGTGCATAACAGTGTTGTATAACACAGATCTATAGTTGTTTAGAATCTTCAGCTTCCTTGATGTTATGCTCATCCAGGAGCTGGGAGGCCGCATTGACTTATTCATGCTTGCGTTTCCTTCCATCACATTAATTACTGGCATGTGGGTGTCACTTTCTCGAAGACAGTAGTGGGTTCCAGGCTTTGTTATGTGTTGTGGCTTGCTATGCTGTTTAAAATCACATGACTCATTGCAAGTTTTCTTCCAGCAATCTGCCTTCCTGGCTGCAGCGAGTCTCACGGCTTCTGTGAAGTGCCCGGGGAATGCAAGTGCCGCATGGGATGGCAAGGTCGCCTTTGCGATGAGTGTGTGCGGTATCCTGGCTGTCTGCACGGATCCTGCTCTCAGCCTTTCGAGTGCACCTGTCAAGAGGGCTGGGGTGGCCTCTTCTGCAATCAGGACCTGAACTACTGCACCAACCACAAGCCATGCCGAAACGGCGCCAGCTGCACCAACACCGGACAAGGGAGCTACTCCTGCAACTGCCGGCCAGGATTCACCGGGACCAACTGCGAGATCGAGAGCAACGAGTGTGCCAGCAACCCCTGCAGGAATGGAGGCAGCTGTAATGTAAGTGACCATAGTGGAGCTCTAAGGTTGGGTGTAGATTGGACAAACATTGGGCAACTGGCCTGTCTTCTCTTTGGCTCTGTAGATCTGGGTAACTGGGTGAGCACCAATTCCAACTACAATAAGGAGTTGTTGCTTAGCGGCAGTTTAGCAGAATATTGGCAATGGTGGAAAAAGTGCTCCCCATTTTAATACGTACATAACAAAAAAACCTCTGACCTCACACAACAATCCACCATATGCATTCCCTGATACGAGGGCAAGGTTTAGTTTAAAGCCAAACTCCAGTATTCCTTTCAATTCTTTATTAAAATGCTCTTCCCCAAGCACAAGAAAGACATAGCACACCCTGCGCCTATTCTGGGCACTTCTGTCCCATAGTGCTTTGGGACATTGGTGGTTGGCAGCAGACGGAAGTGTGGACGGGAGTTCATTTGTATGGCCATGTTTGCCATGGGTTGGGTGGAACAGAGAGGGAATGTGATAAGCTGTCAGCCATCTTATGCAGCATGGATGAGTCTGACAATCCCAGCACCAGCAAAGCAATAACATGACCGCAAACAGGTACAAACTACAAAGGGCAGTTACACAACTCCTCATTCTAAACAAAAAATATAACTATTGTCTGCAGTTAAGCTTTGAAGTAGAACTGTTGCCTCTTATTAAAAAATAAGTGCTGCAGTACCTAATAATAAGCGCATATGTGTCTACAGTTTTCTCTTAGTCCCCCTGTCCTGCAGAGTCCCACAAATTCATCCAAAGCAGCTCCCTGTCATGGGGTGGCAACAATGCTGCACTGCCCCTGAATTCAGAGCAGAGTTGCCACTCTCATGTAGGCTGTGCCTGTTTGCACTACAGTGGGATTAAATAATGTGGCAAGGGACATAGGTATTAGCATTGTTGATGGTGATTCACAAGCCAGTAGTTTGCCAATCAGCACCTGACCACACCTAGTCCCGCCCCCTGCTTTCTGGATTGACAGCACTGCCTCTGGTGCTGAAACCCTTCCACTGTAAGCTGCAGTGTCTGGGAGGGGGAATGTGTGGGACAAATAATGGAGACTTTAGCTCAATA